GTGACAAGCTTCTCCAGGAGACTGAGCAGTGCATCCTCTTCCCCTTCGGAGGCAGGAAATGATACTCACAGTGAGGACCAGGGCTCCCCAAAAGTGGACTGAAGCCATTCTCAGGGACAACAGGGTCCTGAGCTCCTTGGGACGAGTTTACCAGGAAAGCCAGCATGACAAGGTCCTCCAGCAGAATAGCCCAAGAGAACGAGCAGCTCCCTAACAGCTTCTACCAGCTCCCAACAGCCTTGCTTCTTCTTCTCCAGTTCCGCAGGTTATGCTCCTGGCGGCAATCCTCAGGTGGGTCCCCACACCCAGCACCATGCAGGTTCAGTTCAGGTGAACTGGGTGTTACAAGTTGACCACCAGCTGTCCACAACACCAGGGTTTACTACATGATATTAAAACATACTTGATCGTGAGAATTCCTTCTCATATTTGCACAGTGCCATAGTGTACTGTTTTATGACAAGAACAGTTGATGTGGTCAGTGTGGAGAGCTCATAAAAAGCAATCTCCACTTAATATCTCCAGGCTAAATCACAACTTTATTTAACTCATACCCTGGAAGAGATGAGGAAAGCGAGGCAGGGTGAGGCTGACGTTGCCACAGTCATCGGAGACCATTCAGGTGGCACACTTTTCCTTCCTGAAATGTCATGCTAGAAGACACCTACATAAGATATTATGATTATCTCTGTAGTGGCATATTTTGAATACCATCTGTTAATCACTTTTGGGACCAGCACTCTGTCAGTTCTCTTATCATAGAATCTTATTCTCAGCAGAGGATGGTGGGCTCCTCAGTTCCCACACTGTGCAGAGAGCAGACTAGGAGCCTACTGCTACAAGGAGCTAATGCTTGATGCTTCCTTTGTGCATCACGAGTGCTCTTCTGCCAGGTCTCTATGTGGTCATCACTCAGATGTCACCTTGAGACACTTTCTGTGAAGACCTGAAGTTACAGCTCTACCTTCAGCAGTCCTCATCTCCTCTTCCACACCAACTCCTGCTACCATTTAACATCCTAACGCAGCTTGCTTATCTTGCATATTCTCTCATTAGAATGTAAGCAACACAAGGACAAGAGCCCCCCCCTCCCAGTTATTTTGTTTACTACTATACTCCTAGTACCTAGAACAGGATCTAGCAAAGAATATCCATTTTAATCCTCATAAAAACCCAGTGAGAAAGATTATCTTTATTATGTTAAGAGATAATCTTAGAGTAAATTACATGTCACATAGCTAATATGCAATAGAACAAAAAATGAACAAGTGATATATGCAACAACAGCGATACTGTAAATGCATTAATCTGGGAGGATTAAAAAAGTTACATACTGAATAATTCCATTTGTATGAGTTCCTGAAAAAGGCAAAACTAGAAAACATATCAGTAGTTCCTGGGGCTGCAGCAGACAGGCATGGGGGACTGACACTGTGCCTCTGCTGGAGCACCCAGAACTGCACAGCGAGTTTTACTGTGTAAATGAGGTAGGTTGAAGAATGCTCTCCCACCCACAAAGATGTTTATGCCTTCATCTCCAAACACGTGAATGTTATTTTCGCTGGCAAAGGGACTTTGAAGATGTGCTCTGGTTTGTATCTGGATGGCCCTGAGTTTGTGGAAGACCACTGGGTTAGGGGTGCTACCAGCTGGCCTGGTGTTCAGAGGCGGGGGCTGGTCAGAAGAGCAGTCACGTGGGTGTGATCAGGAAGCACGTGTCCCCCTGCCTCCCACCCTTGCTTGCTGCTTCCTGACTGCAGGACACGGCCAGCTTTCCTCTGCCAGGCCCACCCACCACACCTCCCTGTCTTAATCAGCCAGTTATGAACTGAAAACATGGGCCAAAATCAACCTCTCCTCTGCGTTACCGGTGTCAGGTATTGTGTCCTAGCAACCAGGAAAGTGACTAAAACAAGGTGCGATTCAGTATCTTGAGACGGGGAGATTATCTTGGATTATTCGGCCAGATCCAATGTAATCATCAGGGTCTATAGGCGGAGGCGGCAGAGGAGTCAGTGAGAAAGATACATGAAAACACTACCTTGTGCTGCTGGATTTAAAGAGGAAAGCACAATGAGCCAAGCAACACAGAATCTAGCAGATGACGGGCAAGGCAAGGAGACAGATACGCCTTTGAACCCTCAACAAGAACCGTCTCTGGCAACAGCCGAGGAGACTCATTTAGGACTTCTGAACTAGAACTGCTACAAAAATAAGTCTGTGTCTTTTTAAGTCAGTGTTTGTGCAACTTGTAACAGCAGTGATAGGAAACTCATGCAGCAGATGCTACCTCAACAATCCTGACTTTGAAAAGACAATGGAAATTATCCAGTGTGGTACAGCAAATGAGGGGAGTTGACTAGGCCAACAGTCCCGGGTCAAAAACATGACTGTCATATTTGCTTGCCATGTAACCTCAGACACGTCAGCGTCATTGGAGTATGTGTTATTACCTGTGAAGTATTTTCAATAGCAAAGCACAGAAATAAAAGGGTATATAGTAATTTATATAAAATGTAAAAATAAAAGGATAGAAATTAAGAAATAAAAAGATCTGCAGTGACATATAAAAAAATTAGCTCATTCCTAATTCTTTTTGTCTTTGCTTTTTTTTGAGACATGGTCTTGCTATATAGTTCAGGCTGGTCTTGAACTCACTATGTAGCCCAGGCTGGCCTCAAACTCACGGCAACCCTCTTGCCTCAGCCTCCTGAGTGCTGGGATTACAGGCATGTGTCACCACACCTGGCTTGCTATCACTTTATACGCTTTCAAAAAAATGGTAGCTATTATTTTATAGAAAGTATCTGAGTTACTAAGCATCATAGGAAATTTTTATATTTTATTATATACATAGAATATACGCCATAGAGAGTATATCATAGGTGTTTCTTCAGTAACCTTCAAGCATTACTTAGTGCCTAAAACCTGGTCTAATCCAGAAAAATGACTGTTTGGATTTCTCCCCTATACACATTACTAGTACATCCACCGGAACAGTTTCAGGTTACTGCTTTTAACTACTGGGTTATACATAGGACTATTCTGAATGCATCACAGCCTTTAAACAGTTTGGGACTAAACTGTTCTGCAAAGTAGCTTCCAAGCCTCAGCCTATATTTGCACAGAACAAACATCTCTCTGACCTGCTCTTCTGGCCCCTTTCTGGGGTCTATGTAGGGGACTGGTTCATTGTATGTTCTTGCATTTGTGTTAATGAACTTAGCATAATTTACACGTCCTCTCCTCACACATGGTTTTGAATGTTGTATGCTGTTTCCAGGATGTTTTTCATGTTTGATTTCTTCTTTTTTTTCAGCTACGTATACCACACCAGCACGTTCTGTATTATGCTGTCTGAAAAACAAAATTAAATAGTAAATCATCTGTCCCAATGAGCATTTCAGTGCAGAGTCATAATTAAATAAAACGAGGTTCAAATATATTCCAAGCATAAGTCAAAACAATTTAGGTTTATTAATAGTTTTTGATAGGCTTGTGCTATTAAAATTTAGGATAGTACCTTCTCCTTCTAAATCATTTAAGATACAAAGAAATTTGTTAGTAATGATTATTCATCATTATATAATTGATACACAGACTGTCATCTGCTTGTAGTAAAGAATGGTATTTGATTACACTTACTAATCATGTTTGTAGTATTTGTGCACGTAGTTAAGTTATATGCTACTCTGAATACACCTTCCTTAAAAGTTTTATTGCAAAAAGATGGCTTTTTCCCCTTTTACCTACTAATTTCAGCCATCAAGACAAGTACCCATAACTATTTGGTTTTTACAAACTGACTTGCCAAACTTATAAAAGCTATTTAACAACCACTAATACTTCTCTTTTAAAGAAAAGACCACAGTGCAGGCAAAACAATGAACTCAATCTAGTGATTTTTTTTTTTTTTTTGCTTCTAATGACTACATTGCTATGAAAATAAAAATTACTAGGGTGGGTTTGGTAATCCCCTGGGAAATTTAGCAACTTAGGAAGACCCTGTGTCAACATAAAAAATTTAAAAAGGTCTGGGGATGTAGCTCAGGATAAAGGGTTCAATCCCCAGTATCAACAAAATAAAACAAAAAGCACAAAACACTTAAATGAGAAAATATTAAAGAAATAATGTATGGAACTTTTTCCTTTTAAAAAAGGGCAAACAGACATTATAAAAGGCAACATTTTAAAATTTTAGACACTTGAAAAATAACAAGACAACCGTTGTTAATTCCTATCGTTTTGATTTGGAATCCTGTATCGCTGTTATCGTTTATACGCTGCTTTGCTTTTGCCTTTGTTTTGTTATTTTTAATTCTCTTTAAAATAAAAAAAAAACACATATATCAACTACTCTTTACATACGAGCATTTACGTACCAAAGCCCTGACCCCACAAAAGGTGAGTGAAAGATCCAAATTTATAGTGAAAATGGGTGTTCTGTTTAGCCACATACACACCCTTTAAAGCATAACCCTTTTTCCTTCAAAGCTGGGTCCACCTCTTTTCTCATGTCGTTTCTCAAGGGAACCCTAAGTGCATTACAATAAAAACTGCCCCTCCATTGCCTTCCAGTGTGAGCTGCCCCTGCTGGACCTTTCGGCCTCCTCGCAGCCTCTCGCCTCGCTTCCGCAGCCAGGCTTCAGTTCTTCTCTCCTCCGGCATTTGCACGTGCCATTCCAGGTCTGCAGGGCTCTCCCCCGGCTCCCTGCACAGCTTGGTCTTTACCAGTCAGGTCTCAACTCAAAAGCACTGCCTCACAGCTTTCCAGCTGCTACTCCCCACTCCACGTGCTGTCCGTTGCAGGGCTTTGTCCATTCCCTTCAGGACACAATTCATAACGCACGTACAGTTTTCTGTTTGCTTGTTTTTAGTAAGCAACGGATACACCCTTGCTAGTCACTAAGTTCTGTGAGGTGGGGCTTGTCCCGCTCACCAATATTTACCCAATATCCAGGTAAGGGGACTGCCTCTAGAATATTGACGTCTTTCTGCTGAGTTTGCGGGGGATGTTTTTGTGTTTCTTACTCGGGCTCTGTTTTAGCTTTACATTCTAACCCTCACTCACTACACATACTGATAACACTCAGAATCCTCGTGACTTTAGTTTCCTGCGTCCCAACACAAATTGTCCTCATTACTGGTAAAGTGTAAATAACTCCTGAGTTTTTCTGTTTCCAGAGGCCTGAGTATTTGTTTCATGGCTGTGACTTTCAGATCAATTGATTTACTGCAGTCTCCTGGCATCTGTTTTTCTGTTTCTCAAAGCTGTAATCCAGCAAGACATTTATACCGGTCATGTCTTTGAAGGGAAGGATTATGACTATTTTCTGTAGTTATGTACTCACTTGATTAAATACTGCGGTGTCAATGGCTGCAGGTAAATCATACATGTGAAATATATGACTCTGTAGTAACCGCTTTGTACATGTAAAACACAGATAAACACACGAATAGACTCCAAAATTGGGTAGACCTGGACTGGAATCCCAGCTCTCCCATTTAATTTCAGCCTCGGTTTCATTATTTGCATGATAAGAACAATAGCTGCTGTGAGAGATGTAAGAATAACACTGAACAATTCTTCTGACAGATACTCACTACGAGTCAGTGCTGTCGCCGTGACGAAAGAAAAACTCCTGCCCTCACAGAACCTACACTCTGGGGCATGTGAAATGGTGAGGACAGTCCGGCAGGTGGGGAGGCGGCGAGGACAGCGGAGCGGGCAGCGGGAGGAGGAGTCCGTGCGTGCGGAGAAGAACACACTTTTAGGCAGGGCGGAGGCTGCACCGTGAAAAAGGCAACGCGGCAAGGCAGCGGGCATTGAAGACCGGCCTGCGGCAGCGCCGTCCGCGCCCTGGGAGCGCGCTGCCTAAGGCGTGCCGGCGGAGGCAGACCCGCTGGCTCGGAGGAGGCCTGGCCCGAGCGCGACTCACAGACCCCGCCGCGCGAAGCCGGG